ATATCATGCTTAAAAATTCATAAAAGAAATGAAGCTCTACGTTCGAACACACAAGTCAAGTATGACTTTGGGTTAGTTAGCTAATGAATGCCGACTCTGATCTTCAAATTTTGAGAAGGTACGAGTTCAACTCTTGATACTTAAAGTCTCCAAAAATTATTTACGAATAATTATATATAAGAAATAATTCCAAGACTACTAATGATGGATATTTGACAATACTCAAAACAGTGTACGGTCAACCAAAAATTCAAATTTTACTTAGAATAATTTGATGATTGTGTCTAGTATTCATTCGCATATGTAATCGTATTTTAATTATTTGAACTCAGCTGTTTAATTTTTGATCAAAAATTGGATATAGACCAAAAGATCTTATACAGGACGGATACTTAGTAACTGGAAAAGATTTTATTTGTTACTTGTTCCTAGGCAAGTATCTTGTGATATGTGAATCAATTTCGAAGTAGAGTTTTGTGATTGTCCCGTTTAAATTTGGGGCAAGAAGGGGTTACTGTGGTGGAATACTGTGGTGTATATAAATACAGCTATAGATTAAGGAAATTGCTTATTTTCTGTATAACGCATTTTTTTTATAGATTATAAGCGATAGATATATCGCTAAAACTCTAACCCTTGGATTTAATAACTAATAAGTGTTTTTGTTTTGGTGAAATAAAACTTTAAGAAATCAAATCAGTCAATATACAAAAATATTAATAATAATTGAATAAATCCTTTTTTCGCCACCTTGACATTATTCAGAGAAGATGGACGACGATGTCCCATTCTCACGAAAAAGGCGTGTAAAGCTGTAATTAGAACAAGTCGTTGTAGGGCGATGTGTTGTCTTCGGTATGAGATCAAATTGAGTGTGTTTTAACTACTTAGAGAGGACTTAGGACTTAGGGATCAATTGAAAATAAACAATATCTTGTTAGGTCGACAACAAATTTATAGATAATCTTTAGTATAAATTTTAAATGACTGTTCATTGAATAGACATCAATAAAGAGAAATTGGTGTCTTACTCTCACTAATTGCTTGTTGATGAGATTTGATATTTTTAAGGATATATTTATTAAAAAAAAAGTAATGATGTGAAATATTGTAAAATTTTTTAAGTGGTACTTAACAGAGTTAATGATTTTAAAGTAAATACATTAAAATATTGTTAAAACGTTTGTCATTACTTTGAACTTCGGCATTATTTCCCCTTATCCAACCTCTTTTCATTGTATTTCCCGTGTAAATGCTTTTTTCAGTCATTTTAATATTAGTGATGAAGTATTCATTTTTATGGAGGATTTAACTGCAGGCTGTGTAGAATTTAAAGTCTGTTAAAATCGTGATACTCGTATACCCGATGGTTTTGAAAGTTTTTCGCACATTAATTTTTATTTTTTGTGCATTTTCTGCAGTTGCAATGGAGTTTCTTTTATCATTTTTGACTTTTGCTGCAAAGAAACTTAATGGAAAAGTTTCGGTTGTCATATTCTTATTTCACGTCCGTACGCTAGTAAAATAACTGTGACATATGTAGCGTTTGTAAATTTGCATTTTGGCGCGTCAGTGGTTGGTACTTATGGCTTCCGGTGTAACTCTTTCAAGGAAAGAAATTATACGTAAGGTAAAATTTGAATTTATATCAGCCGTAGTGCCACTGGCATCGTTTGAAAAGTTGGAGTCAAGTTGCGTTAAGTTCCAACGCCGCACATGCGATACGATCGAGACGCATTTGGTTACGAGTGTAGTATGCTGTAACGTCAGTGACTAAGTTTGATAGTCAGTGCAACCCTTTTTCTAGACCAATTTTCACATAATGTCAAGCTATTCTAAATGTTTTGTCATATGTGCTTACACGTTCGAATACAAAAAGTGTAAAGTTTTCTTTGTGGATAGCAGTTTTTCCTCCTCCTCTGTGATAATTTTTAAAAGCTTTACGTTAAAATACATAGAAAAATATTTTGTAAATGTTAACGTGTAACAAAGTACGTAAATGCGTAAGCATTTTTTTTGTTTTTCATACATAAGCAGCTTTAAATGTTTTTTACAATTTCATAAAAGAGTTAAGCTCTTGGTCCGACAAGAGTTTTCCAAAATAGATTCAGTGAATGTGGTGCAAACTTTTAAAGTTTCCCAAGAGTGTTTGATGATGTAATTTTTTTTGTCTTTTATGTCTACTTTTAAAATTTTCACTAGTTTTTTGTATTTCTAGAGTACGTATAGATGCAGTCAGTTAACCTATAGCCTAGGTTACAGCACTTTGGAAGAACTGTTATAAAAAATTTTTATCAGTTGACATGCATTTAGTATTTTTAAAAGAAAATATGGATTTTGTATTATTTAGTTTTTCTTTTTCTTTGAATCAAACTGTTAAGTATGATTATATGTCCGCTAACTGACATCACTCCTATCTGTGTTTCTTGATGTAGGAATATTGTAGGAAATGAAAAAACAGATTGTTTCACCCTTCTCGGTGCTGCGCTAGATGTATCCCTAACAGTACCGGATTATTTTCCCCTTAAGATCATTAATAGAAGGCGCCCATTTATTTTCTTTAGCTTGACACTTAGGTCATATGTAACTTTCCGGTAAACATTATTCTCATAACAAGACTAATTCTTGGGGACTCATTAAAATGTACTTTGTATGTACTGCAAGGCTTGCTGCAGTTCTCTCTGGTTACAAGTGTGAAAGAACCCACGACGAGAAACTGAGTATTCATTTTAATAGTTATCTTCATTGAAGAAGTTTTGGAAACGTATAGAAAAAGAAACAATTAAGCATTTTATTTGTCAATGCCCGCCTTTTGTCTCCAGAAGAAATGGGTTTTTATTAAAAGTTCTTTTTTGATAGCTTTTCAGACTGTTCATCGGTAAGGAGGAATGACTTATAAAATTATCTAAATTCGGCTGTAAGGATTAGATCTTAACGTTTTTTTGCAAAAAATTTGTTAGCAGAACGGCTATAAATCATTTACTAAGGCTAGAGGAAAGCTGAGTCTAAAATGGGTACCCCAGTTACCATAACAATAATAACTATACTGGTAACATATAGCAAAAACATAATTCGATTTTTTAATGAATAGGATATTATTAGTGGAATTTAAACTATTAAGATTTTAAAATGGATTTTAAACAAGGAGAAATACCGTTAGCTAAATGTAGTTGAAAAAGTGATGTAGCTAGTAACGTAGATGTAGTTGAAAAAGTGACGTAGCTAGTAACGTAGATGTAGTTGAAAAAGTGACGTAGCTAGTAACGTAGATGTAGTTCAAAAAGTGACGTAGGTGACGTTAGCTAATACCTAGAGGGGAGTGGTAGTATAATAGAAAATGTACCTTTACTCTTTGAAGACAGCATAATATTCACAGTGCTATTTTATTTGTTTCATCATAACATATTTGTTGGTGTTAGACGCTTTCAACTTCAAATAAACATGTTATGAAGAATAATAATGGAGTTTCTTATTGTAAGGATTAAGGATCTTTATAGTAGTATTTTATAGTTATATTATAGGGTTAAGTTATATTCTACTTAAACAGATAAGTCAATTAACAGTTTGCATAACGACTAGTTCCTATTTAAGTTGTGTTTATTTAATAAAATTTACAGCATACCCTACTTTCATTTTTAATTCTATAGTAAGGACACGTTATAATGTTCGGTGAGACAAACAAAAAAACTCATAAAATTTTCATCAGCACTTTTGTAAAGTCGACAATTGAAATAATCCTCCAAAATGCTATTCCAAATCACACTCACGCCCACGTACTCGATATATAAACGCAAAATGTGTTCATAATCACGTTTCAATTATTGTGCAATTTTATAAGAGTGCAGATGTGTATGAGTGCGTGTACCAGTTTGAATGTAAATGAAAAAGCCAAACTTTAACATGGCCACTCGCGCCTTTGGACATCATAATTCCATGCACAATTCCCATTACCCATTACCCAGAACACCATCAACCCACAACAGCTCACACACAATTACGCACATAAATACGTAAATTGTACGCCAGGACATGAAGTGATAAAAAGTGAATTCAGCGCGGTGGTGCCGATGGTGAAAGTGCAAGAGTTGTTGTATTGTGTGTTGTTGCTTGTGAAGTTTTCGGCCTGGCGTAGAGCTCGCTGAGATTGGCCAATGCTGTTAACATATGGCACCAGATACCTTTTTGTTTGCCTACCTGTCGACTTGACTGTATGCACAAGTGTGCGAAACGACCGAATCTCAATGCACCACACATGTATGCGTAATCGCATGTGCAACACCTGAACTTCCATTGCGCCAGTGTGGCGGCAATGTGGCGGCAGCAAACGTAGCATTGGAATGCATGCAATACACAAGCTTATTTGCATGCAAGTATACACTGTCATATAAATATATCACCCATTCCTTTGTATCTGCTGAACTAATTACGTTAATATGCGCCAACGTAAGTTGCCAAATGCTTCTATTGATTACGTGCTTCATAGTCATCAGCATGTTGATAGCCTTTGTTCATGCAACTCATGCAATCCTTTAACTGCTGCTGCCGCAAGTCTCTCGCACATACTACAACCCATTGGATATCGATGCAGTTGTGTCTACAGTATTTGCTGGGACAACAAAAGTTTTGTTAGGCTGTTGCTGTAGCTGTAGCTATAGCTGTTCCTGCTACTACCACTCCGTCTGCGGCATGGTGTACATGACGATAATGATGAAGATTGTAATGATGACTATGATGATGGTGATGATGGTGACGTTAATGTTGATATTTTTGCTTGCTACCTGACCAAAGACACATGTCCATCTATTACTTTTCACATTGTACACGTTCATATGTTGCTGCCATCGGATCTTGCATGCGGGGTCATTAAAATCGTTCAATGTTTAGTCCATGCATC